GCCGCCTGTGCGTCGCCCGCAGATGGCACTCGGTGAAGCGGGTTCGCGACTTTGGAGTCCCGCGCCAGCCAGGACCTGCAGCGTTAGCCCAGATCCCTCAGCCTTCTGCGGATTAAAGCCGGACCCTCCAGGTCACTTAAGCCCCCTCCCCGGGCGGACTCCGTGGTTCAGGGAAAGAAACACCCGCAGAGCGAGCGCTTCACTTGGGTCGGGGGCTGTTTAAAATTAAGAACTTCAAACCCCAGATCTAAAAAAGTGAAACAGATGTCCTGTGCGCTGGGCATAAATGGCTCCGTAAGTCCGATCCTCCTCTGTCTTTTTTCTTTCTGCCCGATTAAGTTTTATTTAATGCAGAGTTCGCTTAAAAGGGTGAGAAGGGAAAAAGAAAGCACAGTATGGACTGTGAAGAGAAAGCTCCTAAATCTTTTTCTAGAAAACAAGGAAGGAAGCTTCTTCAGAAAGACGCAGGTGCCGGATCTGCCTCCCCCAGCCAGCAGTACCCAGGGTTCCTCTGTCTTTTTTCTTTCTGCCCGATTAAGTTTTATTTAATGCAGAGTTCGCTTAAAAGGGTGAGAAGGGAAAAAGAAAGCACAGTATGGACTGTGAAGAGAAAGCTCCTAAATCTTTTTCTAGAAAACAAGGAAGGAAGCTTCTTCAGAAAGACGCAGGTGCCGGATCTGCCTCCCCCAGCCAGCAGTACCCAGGGTCCAGGGTAGAGACAGAGGAGGCGGCGGTGACTCGGCCTGACTCGGACTGGTCCCGAGGCCCGGCGGGCCCTGATGACTGTGCAGGCAGGAGGCAGGGACCACAGGCAAATCCCCAGTCGCACTGACTGTCCTATTAAATTACCTCAGACCCAGGACCTCTTACAGGTGTGTTAATGGAGTGGCCCCTCCCCGGCCTTGTCTTCTGGATTAGCCGTTGGGGAAAATTTCAAGTTGAGTATTTCGCCCAGATTGCTTTTTGAACTCCGGAAGGCCCTGGGCAGCCCAACTCTTTCCCCAGTCTCCGGAGATTAACCTCAATGCAAAGCTATATCAAAAGCACGAGGTAAAATGGCACGGGCCTGTTATTCCAACTACTCAGGAGGCCGAGGCAGGAAGATCACAAATTCGAGCCTAATCTGGACAATTTAGCTAAACAGTGTGGCCATTCTTAAAAAAAAAAAAAAAAAAAAAAAAAAGAAAAAAAGGTGGGAAGAGAAGACCAGGGGAGAGA